AATGAGACCCATGAACAGCGCCTGCTGTAAGAAAATGGGAGAAAGAAAAAAAGACGGACTATCTTTTGGAGCAGTATAGCATGCACCTAATTAGGAGGCAAACGTGCTCGCCATGAGTACATTATTCGAACCGTTGCTTACAAATTTTGTGTAAATGAAGACTTTTTACTTCAGTTTATATTACTTCCATGTGGTTTTTATGTATTGTCTTTGTTCAATATATTTCCAATATGTTTATTATTTACCTGTATAATTGGCGCAAATGAAATGTTTTTGTTTGCACAAATGAGAGGTTATTTTGGCGCAAGCGAAATGACTATTGACGAAAAAGCAAAATACCGCTCCTTATCCTGGCACCGCCACTGGTAATAACTGTATCTACATTTTTTTATAGTAACAGCTGTGAGGGAGATACCATATATAACAGCTGATTATGGAGAGAATGGACAGGAAGTTTATAAAATGAAGCTATCATTTCCATCCATTAAAATAAATGAAGTAGGTATCTATTTGTGTTCTACGATGTAATTATCCGTTTTATTTCATGCTAATATATAATTGGTATGACATCTCGTTTGTGAAATTTGTAAAAAGCGCATTTGCGCTTTTTCTACAAGACTTTTGCGTTTTTTCTTCAAGACATTCGCGCTTTATCAACATAACATTTTAGTGTTGGTACTTCATGATTTCCCTACTCATTTATCAGCGCTGGAAAACATTTATGTAACCATGTTCCTATACTTCACATGCACGATTTGTACTCCTGTGAGAGTACCAATGACTGCCTCTTTCTTCAAAATCAACATGGACTGTAAACAAAAACAAAAAACCACTTTATGAATGCTCAAACCCGAGCCCAAATATTTTGAAGTCAGGGATCTGCAAACATGTAGACCCAGCCGTTGGTTTAAAAAATAATTTTTGATCTCTACCATAGTGAAACAAGATGGTAGAGAAACAAGATTTAAGTTAGATAAACAAAGATGGTAGATTCCACAGACTTTTCAGGCAATAGAATGAATACAAGAAGAATATAGTTATCGTGTGTAAAGAGCTGTATGGTACAAATATTAGTTAATTTTAATTTGTGTAATGATTACAAATCATTAAGATTTTATAAGTAAAAGTGCAAATGTTACGTCAATTTAATACATGTGTATCAGAGTTGAGAGCGCAGTGTTTGCAGCGCTAATGTCAATAGTTTGGAGCGCAAATATCCTTTCGTGTTACTGTAAAAAGACTCAAACGTCCTTTGCCCTCTTTGGCGGTACGCGTATCAATCGGTTTAACTCTTCCAAAATCCTACAAAGTAAGCGGCTGTGCGATGTAAAACGTTTTTGACCTACTGCTAATTAATTTCAATAGCTAAGAAAACTTTCAGACATATTTAATGTTTTCTTTTACTCCTGAAATTACAATTTACAAAACTAGAATGATACAAATCAAACCCGACCAAAAAAGCCACCAAATGACAAAGAAAACGTAAAAATCAAGAGTAACGTCACTGGTTTCGGAATAGTAAGCAATATTAAAAGGTGCAAACCGGTATGGGATTAGAAAAAAATGTCTCCAAATAACCATGTTAGAGTAAAAAAATGCATTTTCCATAGGATACCAGTTGTGTTCTATATTTTTTTTATGAATAAATATTAACCTAGAAAACATGGGTAACAATACCTATTACTAGAAATGGCGGTGTTTTATTGCAACCAAAAAAAAGTATATAGATATAAGAAGATGTGGTAAGAGTGCCGATGAGACAACTCTCCATCCAAGTCAAAATTTATAAAAGTAAACCATTATAGGTCAAAGTACGGTCTTCAACACAAAGCCTTGGCTCACACCGAACAGCAAGCTATTAAGGGCCCCAAAATTTACTAGTGTAAAACCATTCAAACGGGAAAACCAACGGTCTAATCTATGTAAAAAACGAGATGGCCATGTGACAAAAGACTGAAAAACACGTCTTTTGTCATTTAATGGAAAAGGCAACTTTTGAATGGGTCCATTGTAAATACATTACTCTTTGTTAAATTTGCATTTTTTAATGGTCTGAATTTTCTAAACCTAAATGGTTAAGTTTTCGATTTAAAATAATTATAAACTTGTATCATCCAATCAGGAGTCGCATAAGATTTTATTCTGAGTATCATTTTTTAGGCAATCGTAACTAGTCGGCCATTCTCGTTACGCCTACAATACATAGCGAGAATGGTCGAGTAGTTACGATTGATCTTTTGGGGTCACAAACTTGTTGCCCGGTAATCCTGCATCTCCTTTTTATCATTCAGACAATGCATGCGTAAATAGTTTTTTTTTATATAGATTAGACAGTTGGTTTTTCTGTTTGAAATGTTTTACACTAGTCATGTTGGGCCCCTCTATAGCTTGCTGCTCGGTGTGAGCCAAGGCTCCGTGTTAATTGCCTATAATTGTTTAATTTTTACACATTGTGACTTGGATGGAGAGTTGTCTCGTTGACACTTATACCACATTTTTTTATTTCTATTACCGTTATAAATGATGTGTAGACACTTAGATCTCGCAAAGGATAGTTTAGTAAAGATAGATTATCTTCGTTTTGATGTATTTAAATGGATAATGTTTTATTTATTTATGATCCCTTTATCACAATATTAACATACTTTTAAAATAAGGCACATTATTTTGTATTTATAACGTTTTTGTTTGTGTGATTCGACTAGCATATCAATGTAATCTGTTATTATATGTCTATTAAGAGTAAATGCATTATTTAATCTTTTTTTCAAGCCCGACCAATATTTCTGCTACACAAGATATTTGGAAGAACTTGATGAAGTTTATATCTGTAAGTAATTGATCAATATATGAGGCATGGCTTAAGTGTCGAAAATGGATTAGATAATGTGACAAAAATGATTGCTTGTTGCAAACAAAATCGTCTTTCACACCTATTTAAGACATGAGTAAATCTATGTTTAGCTTCGACATATAAATATGTACCTTTCAAACAAAATGATGTTGACCCTTGCCATATTCGTAGAAATCAGGTATATCCAAGGAAAAAAAAATCGGTAGCCTAAATATATTACATTAGAGGACAAATATCTACAATGGCCTTTTCTCGCGCAAATAATTTAAACAGTCAATTTTACTTGAAAGGATTGCAACCTTAGTTTTGCGTTAGACGAGAAAAGCATGTGGATTTTTACCCCTAATAGTATGTTCTTCATCTTATTAATATCTTGAGATCAATAGTATCACAGTATACTACAAAATAAACTGTCAAGTTTCAAATATATACCTCAACTACTTTTACGTACATATTTTAATATTTTCCAGTAAGCACCTTGGTAGAAATTAATCACGAATATGTTCATCATACAGCTTTAAGTTTTTGTGAAGAACCTGAAGAATTTGCAAGTCATCAACCATGGTAAGATGTTACAATCTGGATACTTTAAAACACAAAATATGTATACACTTTATAAAGAAACCCTTTTCACAATGAAAAATTTGATATATCATGAGTAATAATTGCATGAATTTCCGAAGGATTGTAAACAGATGAGCTGAGAGAATTTTATGTTGCTTCTCATCATCCATTGAACATAAATACAATTACTCTTTCGTAAATTTATAAATAATAGCCGTTCAGAATCATTTAAAACGGATCATTCAAGGTAATTTTATCCTCCGAAAAAGAAAAAAATTGAAAATAATTACACTATTGATTAGTTATCCATTGCTCAGAACGGCGTCCTTATAAACACAACTTCATGGTTGTACGTTTTGAAATATTACCGAGAATGGACTACCTTGTAGAAACGGCGCCTAGCATATAACATCGGTAATTGTACATTGATTCTTATTACAAAAAAGGAAGCCTTGTATGACATATTTCATTCATTATTGTAGGGAATGTTCGAATACTAGAAAATATTGTAAAGGAGGTTCAGTAGGCGTTTTATTTTTTGATGACTACTTCAAATCCAAAAATGGTTTAATGAGGTTTCCTAAAGGTAAAAGTTTATTTCAAAATCATATTATTCACATTTATGTGTCACAAGTGAACGAAATGTGCTCCTGGAACCCTCATCAGAAACATTGTAGATAAAGGCTTCGGATGTCAAATATAAAACAATGTACTATTAAAATCCAAAATGACCTACGTTTCTGGTTTTATATATAGATTAGACCGTTGGTTTTCCTGTTTGAATGGTTTTACACTAGTCATTTTTGGAGCCCTTTATAGCTTGTGGTTCGGTGTGAGCCAAGGCTCCGCGTTGAAGGCCGGACTTCAACCTATAATGGTTTACTTTTACAAATTGTGACTTGGATGGAGTGTTGTCTCATTGGCACCTGTCGAGCTCACAACCTCAGTGTTGACAGTCTAATGATCACTGATGAACTTCTTGACCACCGATGCGCCACTTTATTACTTTATTACTTTTTATTATTTCAAGATTTCCATCTACACTTTCACAGTCAAATTCTAATATAAATTTTATAAGACATCTGTATCTTATACTGACTATTGTTTCATTCATTAGATGTATAGCTACAATGTCCATTTGGGGAAAAGGCAGTATCAGTCTTCAGGTTACTCGTGACGTAAAAAATATCAAAAAGATAGACATATCAATTAATTTCAGATCAAAGAAATTATTATATTGGATCCAAATACAGTGACCTTGAACTCTCAGTTAGTGCTTTGTTAATATCGTTTACTCTTAAGGCAATGGTGTCGGTTTTGTTTTATCATAATGGGTAGATTTTTTTGCGTGTATAATGTTTATATATCTAAAGCTTGAACATTCGACTTCACTGATCTTACAGCGCCTTTCGTATTTTGTGTGATTACTATCATTATTGGTGACAATACATTTGTATATTGACCTCAGTTGTTTTCTGTTTACAGATGTTTACATAATTCCATTGAATACATGTTTATCTATCGTTTTTTTTTCATTTTTATGATAGTGCTATCATACAAAAGATATATTTCTGTTTTTCAGACATATCACTAAAAGTCGGATTTTCAACAATGCTGAGGCATATTACTTTTGAGATGCACACTAAAGCAGCAGTTACCGGTATTAAAGTTTATTTTATGATATTTTAATATGCCGTTCCTAAATAAAATAGTTGTAAGGTCTGCATTAACTAAAAAAAAAACAAAAAAAAAACGAAAGAGACAACCAGTCTACTAAAACAATAATTCATTTTTATAGAACTTCGCATTAATTTGCAATTAATTGTATTTTATAAAGTTAACGATTGATTTATAGATACAAATGTCAAAGAGACAACAACCCGACCAAAGAGCATAAAACAGCCCAAGGCCACTAATGGGTCTTTAATACAGCGAAAAAATCCCGCACCCGGAGGCGGGCTTCAGCTTGCCCCGAAATAAAAAAGTGTACTAGTTCAGCGAAAATGGACGTCACACTAAACTCCGAAACATATAAATGAACCAAAATTTTAAAAAAATATACAAGACACCTTAATATATAACAGATCCCTGTTAAATGCTTCGTAATCACGAAAAGGTCTACATCTAATTACGGCCGTATATCCGTTATAGAAAATTTTGATACATAAAGAGTTTTTGTAAATCTGAACTACTGATCAGAAAAAATACATATGCATAGGTATAATGAATGATCTATGATTTCACAGTGTTTGATGAATTACATATATATTTCAGATTTCCAATATCCATTAATCAATGTAACGTTAACATTTATCAAAACTCCGTAAGTACTTTGATTACTTTACAGACGTGACTTCTTAATTTTTTCCTGTATAGTCAACCTGTGCGTCTGATAAAAATTCAATTTTCGAATTTTAGAATATAAAAATAAGAAAAAGTGATATGATTGCCAATGAGACCATTCCCCACTAGATATCAAATGAAGTAGAAGTTAACAACTGAAGGTCACCGTACGGCCTTCAACAATGAGCAAAGCCCATTACGTGTAGTAAACAAATGACAAATGTAAAACAATTCAAACGAGAAAACTAACCAAATGATTTATGTACAAAACAATAAACCAAAAACAAATATGATAAGTTTGTTTGACAATTGCGTCATTGAATTATGTATCCAGTAATTAGACATGATACAAAATCATATTGCTGAATGTTTTTTTTCAATTTTCAATTGTAAACGAAAAGGGAATGAAGGGAGATTTCTGTACCGTTTTCTTACGAAGATTTCCTTCACTTTAATGTGTATTTAATTTTCTATCACTCAGCACAAAATACAACTATCAAAGTCATTTACTGCTGACTGACGGATTTATTCCCGCAAATAAAGAAAAGGGTAAGTTTTATATATCGCCCTTTTTTTGTTATATTGTAAAGGAAAATAATCACTTCCGGTTTATTCTGATTTTTTCTACTATGCTGCTCACATCAGTTAGACAGTGCTACACTATTTGTTTAGGTCTTTAATTAACTCTGTGTAATTGTATTTGTTTCGCGTTTCCCCTTTATTATGTTTGTACTAATTAAACATATCAATATACATGACGACTTATATGCTGTGAGTGATTATAAGTCAGTAATAATCTTGCTAATAATTTCTACCGATGTATTCCACGATTGTAGATATTTGCTAATTTTGTTTCCTTCAAACAAAACTATGAAATATTGATAAATTATACATATATTATTTTTAATATAGGATATTTTGCGGAAATAGCTTGTAGCTGGAGCAAGCCTGATGTTGTTGCATATGCGGTTCAAGTACATACACATCATTATGGTAAGTGAAAGTAGAGGTTAGATTATCTTAAACTTTTGATAGATACAATTTATACAGCTTAATTTGATAACAATTAATCGTAAGCAATATTTGTACCGTTTACAGCTATTATTTGACCACGCAAGGAACAAAAAGATTATCGTAACTTCATGTTTTCACAAGCGAAATCAACACAAGACTCCAGTCTTTTTCCTTCTTTCTTCTGTGGTCAGACCAAAGTTGCTCGAATTGTTTTTATTGATTGGTAATATATACTATTAGTGATTTCTATTTGCAAATTTATTTAAAACATGTGTATGTTATACAGGATACACGGCTGATGTGTATAGAATTCGAAACGGTACTTGGACTTTAATGGTCAGTCAGTTAACACAAGGAAAAGCTAAGGTTATTTATGTATACAGATATAAACAAATCTGAGTAAAATAGATATCATATGTCCACACTCCGCTTACAAGGATATGACGTTACTCCATTCTGCTTTCTGTTTTTGATACTTTAAGGGATCCTCTGATTTAGTTCTAATAATACACACCTTCAAAAATTTGATGACAGGAATTTCATTGGCTGATGTAATAATTACCAGAACAAAAAGTAGAATCAGTTTTATCACATCCTTGTTAGCAAAGCGTGAACAAAGGATCTGTATTTTAATCAGATGGTATTAAAACAAAGATATATGGTTTGATAGTCAATGAAACACCTATCGATCAATAGATTAAATGACAGACATGTAAACTATTTTACTTTACTATTAGGCCTTCAACAATGAGCAAAACCAACACCGTATAGTGAGTGGTGAAGGGGCCTAATAAAAAAATGTGAAACAATACAAAAGAGAAAACAGACGACCTGATTTAGGCTCATAACATTTGATGAAAAACAATGCAACGACAGCCAACGACAGCTACTGAACTGTGGGATTGTCACGTTGGAAAGCACAAAATTGTAAAGATTATGGTGGATATAAGCATGTTTGACAACCATCTCCTCACCTCCATGGGTCATTCGTGTTACAGCACATTCGAACAATTTGTGAAACTCAGTTGGAAAATGTTTGAATCATGTCAACCTAACTGAAAATTGTATAACACTGGCGGTATTGTTTATTTCACTTCACAATGTGAATAAGGGCAGACATGAGGTAAAAGTCGATTCGTTTGCAACCTGCAAACATAACCAAAATGCATATAGAGGGCAACATGCTGTCTTTAACAATAGACATGACTGTGTCTATACAATTTGTCAAATTCTCAAACTCTAAAAAGTCTCGACTCTATAAAAGTTGTGAAGAAATTAAACATGAAAAATCGAAGATCTGCTATAAAAACATTTAAAAGTTTTTGTTTTGTAGAGATTTTTTAATGTATAATGCCTAATGACTTTTTTGACCGATATTTATCATAGTTTTATTTGTATAGAATAGGTGACGTCAAAATTTCTAATATTACTTTAATGAGACATACACCTACGCTCGTTCATAGTTTCATATGTGTTTTGTTAGGCTTTATTTTTTTCCCTTTAATAAACAGAAATTATTTGGCTTACGAAAATTAAAGTTTTTTTTAAGCTGAAAAATAAAAAAAAAGTAAAATATAAACTATCAATATCATGATCACAACGGATAAGATATGTAAAAGCCAAGAATATTGATAAATAAAGGCATAGCTTTCAATGTTATGTTTAAAATGATGTCATTTATTTTAAATCGACAGACCTTTTACAGGTGTTTGTACCAGTAGCTGGAGGGGCTATTGACGTACGACGGGGAGATGTTCTGGTAAGAAACCTAATATGCTAATAACAGAGGCTTGGCTATTCATCTGAATTTTTTTAAAAATGCATATTTTCAAATGTCCATCGAATCTGAAAAATAAAAAAATCATCTGCTGCTTTGCACTTGAAGTAGTCAAACTGTGTTATTTGTTCATAATTCAGTACCATATAAGATGTTGATGATTATCGAAAATGTGAGATCTTTGAAATAGAAATAATTAAGTACAAGTAAATCCTAACTATATTGTAACTTCCCCGAGGAAGTTTAAATTTTTAAAAGCGATATCTTGTGTCAAGTTGTTTGTATTACAAAGCTGTATTATAAAAAAATGTATTTTTGAACTGTTAATTTCTTTGAATTCTAGGCTGCAAAGTGTTTATATATCAACAAGGATAATAAGCCAGTTCGTTTTGGGTAAGATTAAGTACGATGTAGTTGCAGTACTCAACAGATTTTTTGTTATTAAGAACGTTTACTGAATTTTAAAAGAACAATTTTAAATATGAGAGCAAAAATAAATTCAAAATGATAAAAAGTTATAACTGACAGACTTTATATAATTAAAGTCTTTTGAATATTGAACACAGTGTTATTTTCTCTGATAACTAAATGTGCGTCTAGGCCTTTGTAGTCGATGTCCTGATGATTTATTTTCGAGATTTCCTTTCATATTTGTTGTTGTCACATTAGAGAAGATCTTGGTTCGACTTATTCGCAACTATTTTTATTCGCGTTACTTTTTTCGCGGAAGTCACGTGAATAAGTTGGTTTACAGTATTGGAAAAAGGTGTCAATAACAATGTCGACAAAGGAAAGCACTAAAAAGACTAACAATTGTAAGGGTCAACAAAACACTACATAAAGATAAAAAAAAACGGGATTGAACTTAGGTGTTCCGGTAGGGTTAGTTGTTCCTGGCTCACTATCTAATACGAAAGAAAAGTCATCTGATAGATTCATTATACTTTTCGATTGTTGAATTTAACCATTTTTCCCGTATCGTCAAAATTAAGTATAGACTGTAACAATTTTGTCCTTATTCGATTGGTACACAATTAAAGGAAATGATATGATGCCAAAGGACAATATATAGTATTAGTCGACGAAGGACAGATACCAACATAAACAAATAAAACATATGAACAGAGAAACAATCGTCTACAGATCATTATAAAAAGGATGTTAAAATTTAGCAACACGAACAAAAACACAATTCAACGGTTGACGCAAATGCTTTAAAAGGGGTGAGCAATTCCTGTATCACCAGTATTGTTTTCCATGTAGATTTTCAATGATAAGCTGTATCTGGTGATAAATTGTATCCTGGGATAAGTAATAAGCAAAGAAAAGAAGACTGACTGTCACAATCCGATAAATGGAAATTTGTATGTTCATTTGTGGTCCGTAGAATTGTAGAAAAGATCAATTTAACTGTATAAGTTAGAACCCTAAAGTTAGAGAGCTTCCTGGTACACTGGAAAATTCTAAGAAGGAATCTCGATAAGAAATATCAGTTGTCGACTTTCTTTTGAAATGAATGATATGCACCATAGTCCTATTTGAATGTTGCAACACACGAATAGAGATTACGTAACGGATATTGATAATAACAAATAATGCTATTGGTGTGTTATAATATTGTACAATGAGGGCATACCATACTGCAAATACATTAAAGTAATTGTTTACTGAAGTTTAATCAAAATTTTTTTGTTAATCAATCAAAACTTAGTTCTCGAAGGCATCTGAACCATATTTAAAAACTTCGAAATTTGATAAGAAGAAATATGCAACCTGTCCATTCGATACATTTTACTTAGATCTTTAATGATTTTTTGTTATCCTAGTTTGGATTTATTTTACAGGCAAGATGATGGTCAAGAGATGTGTAATGCTGATATCCATTTTGGTTACGAATTTAAATATGAAGGTAGTTTTCAACGTGGAGGTGCGTGTATGACGCAGCAACCGGAATTTTCATTTTGCGACCACGAGGCAACATCAGGAATTTGTGGAGATAATAGCAAAATAAACATATAGCAAGACTTTAAACAGTTCCCTTTTTTGTAGCTATTGTTGTAGGAAATTTCAATACCTTTTGCATTATCTGTATGTCTCTTTCTTTCTCTATATTAATAAATTATAAATCATGACGCTCATTTTTGTATATAACAGGATTTTGTGTATCAACTTTCATTGCCTTGTGGTAATGCATGCATTATCCGTGTTTTAGTCAGTACAATTACAGCTATATGATACTTCAAATTTAATATATTTTAGATAATTGAACGGCTTAGTTTTACTATAGAACACGTGAACATATACTTTCTCTTAAAAGAGAATCCTTTCTTTTTTTCAAATATTTAAAAATGTACTGCCATCGAAATATTGTTTTCCCGTCCTCTAACATGTCTAATTCGCCGACAGCTTTTCATTATGCAGTAATTTTAACCATGACATCTCTAGTTGGAAATTCGACAACCACACAGCTCAAGTACAAATTGAAAACTGTAAAAACATATACACCAAATCATTTAACAACTGTTATGACAAAACGACCAATTCTTAATGGCGTTCGGGTAAAAAACACTCAGATAAAGCTATCAACAACTTTATTGCTTCTTAAAAATGAAAAAAAGCAATTTATATAATTTCGTCTTTCAAAGCGTGTTTCTAGATTTACCTTCATTTAGAACGTTCAAAAACCCCAAAATCAACGCAGTCTTGAAGAAAGAAACATGTTCTAAATCATGTTTCTACTAAAGCACTCAATGCTGAGCTGATAATACCCTCGGGGACTAACAGTCCACAGTAGTGGTATAGACCCAGTGCTTGTAAATGAAAATAATACTTAATATGATTTCGTACGTCCGAAGCGCTATCCTGGACTTACCTTCATCAGAAACGCTCAAAATCCAAACATTTCAAATGTTGTTTCTTTGATAACATGATTATTTTTTTTGGAATTTCGAAGGAATATCCTTTCCAAATCCCTTTTTCACTTTCCATATTAATTACTTATTACGGTGTTTAAAGTGTATAATAATTTTCCAAATATGATAAATGAAAATAACACTTACATAATTTCGTGCGTCCGAAGCACTTTTCTGGATTGTCCCTTTAGGCAAAAGTAAGTTAATTTATTTACAGTCGTCATATGTTTACGATTTACAATAAATATGATCTTTTGTAACTGACTACACCATATATACAAAATATTACTTGTATATACATACCTGGATTTTATATATAAATATAATTTGGCGATTTGGTGCCACGATATCTCAGTAGCATGAGTTCGAATCCCGGCCAGGGAAGAACAAAAAATTTGCCTCAGCAAATTTACAGATCTAACATTGTTGGGCTGTTGTTTAGACGAATTATATATACAGAATGTATTTTCAGCCTTGTATCACCATCACTGCTGGTGATCCGATGGATAAAATCTGTTGTAGAGACGTCATTGGTTCAGACGTACTTATAATATAATTATTTCTGTGACTGCATCTTACATTAATTTGTAGGATCCTTTCCAGTAGATAATTCAGCTGATCTGTAACAGTTCCATCTTCATGCCTTATATATTATGTACTGTGTTACGACGCTAGATAAAAACTGACGAGGAAAGATAACACCAGGCCACCAAAAGCTTTATTATCATAGAGCCTAGGTGGTCGAGTGGTCTAGCGCGTCGGGCATAGTGCTAGGCGAATTGGTGCCACGATATCTCAGTAGCATGAGTTCGAATCCCGGTCAGGGAAGAACAAAACATTTGCTTTCGCAAATTTACAGATCTAACATTGTTGGGCTGTTGTTTAGACGAATTATATATACAAAATGTATTTTCAGCCTTGTATCACCATCACTGCTGGTGATCCGATGGATAAAATCTGTTGTAGAGTTGTCACTGGTTCAGACGTACTTATACACATATATATATATATATATATCTGAAATTACACTACACAAAGAGGGAGTGACTGTATTTAATGGATAGTGCTGCTATTTGATATTGACCCAGCTGATTCAAACATGCTTTTCAAATCCTCTATACTAAAAATAATATGTTGCCAGATATTGAATCACAGTTAAGATTAACATAGAGATGGTTCAAAACATAATTTACTAACTAAATGTTCAACTTATCGTGGTAATCGAAAAATCGCGTTGATATGCACAAACAATTGTGGTCAATGTTTTATATGACGATATTATAGAACAGATGATAATCCTGACAAAATAAAAAAATAAACGATGATGTAAAAGATGTAAATGAATCGTTTGTTACTAAGTAGTTAAACAAAAATACGTTAATTCAATCCATACGCAGAGAATATTAATTGTCAATGATATATGCCATTCTATACAGAATATTCTGAAACTCTAAGAACATAATTTCAAAATTACAGTTTTATCGTCATCTCAATAACTGTTGATATCTTCTTTGTGTTGTTTTATTAAAATTTGTTCATATGAAATTAATATGTTCATCTCTTTTTGGTTCAAATGACAAATATTCAACTATCTTATTTAAGTGTTCTTGGAATTTAGTTTTGTAAACAGTATTACTTTTAAGTTTTTTAAATATTGACAAATTTGACTATACTTTTTGTGATTTTGATTGCAGGCTTCTCGTTGTTTGTTTACTAATAATGAAGAAAAATCTATCGATCTTAAGTAAGTAAATGAAAAAAAAAGTAACACGTGTTATTAATTTATGGCACAAAATAAAAAATCATAACACATACTTTACAGAACCCAAGCAAATAAACAGTGTTTTAGTGTTGTTTGCATCTCAAGGTCACAGTATGGCATTCAATACAGATCTAGAGTTAAATAAATTTAGTCTTAGTTGCATGATTTTTTTTATTAGTTGTTATTGGCTTTAAACTAGCTGTCAGTAACTGCGAGTACTCTCCATGTCTTTTTGGTGTGGGGATGTATAAGTACCCTAACACGTCCACTCTGTGTTTTTGTTAGATGTATTTCTATTTGTATCCATCTGATGAGTTAAGCATTTTTCAACTGATTTTTATTGTTTGTTCTTATGTTGAACTGTTACACCACTGTCCCAGGTTAGAGGGAGAGTTGGCGCCTTCAAACAAGTTTAACCCTGCCACATTCTATATGTGCCTTTCCCAAGTCAAGAGCCTGTAATTGAGCGGTTGTCATTAATTGCTGTTTCTCATATTTGTTTTTCGTTTATTGTTTTGTATAGTTTGTTCTTGTATTGTGCCGTTGCACAACTGTCCCAGGTTATGGGGGAGGGTTGGCGCCAACAAACTAGTTTAACCCCACCACATTCTGTATGTGCCTGTCCCAAGTCAGGAGCTTGTAATTCAGCGGTTGTCGTTTGTTGCTTTGTAACATATTTGTTTTTCGTTCATTATTTTGTACATAAATTAGACCGTTAGTTTTTTCTAGTTTGAAATGTTTTACCGGTATATTTGTCATTTCGGGGCCTTTTATAGCTGACTATGTGGTATGGGCTTTGCTAATTGTTGGAGGGCGTACGTTGACCTATAATTGTCAATTTCTGTGTCATTTGGTCTCTTGTTAAGAGTTATTTCATTGGCAATCATACCAAATCTTCTTATTTCCATATTAAAGGCCACACCTCACTGTACGATGGATTTTAGCACAATTTGGACAGGAATTCATTACTAGATATCAATAAAACAACACATTAGCACTGAAACATACTGAAGCAAGATGATATTAATATTTTGAAAACAATAACTTATACTGTTCTCATATGACCGGCAATAAAATTAAAACGTTTGCTAAATGAAACGAAATAACTTTTCATATAAATAAAAAAATATATGCATAATCAATTGGCTGTACATGTGATGAACACTTCAACGTCAAAAGTTTTAAAATGAAATAACTTTCCAAATATTTTGATAGCTAGAAAACCGATGATTTTAAAAACCTTGTACATAACTTTCAATTGTTCACGAGTGCAATTTTCATATTGAATAGATAAGTACAATCCGATTATCGATTTTTAATTTATTTATTCTAATAATAATTGAATTTGCTAATAATTTCTAAAGTGTCACTAAATATATGTGATATATGCTGTGGTTTCGGTTGGATATTGCGTTATGTCTTATCATTTGTGGTTTGAATTCTGTATTTTTGGTACATTTCACATATTTCTTATTTGTCAGTATAGTCGAGTTAATTTCCATTTTCCATGGAAAAAGTATTGTGTTAGTCCAAATAATTATGCCACAGCATTTATTTAAAATAGCCTTTCAATACCGTCGACATAGTCATGATAATTGTTTGGACTAGTATTGTGAAAATAATTTCAAGATTATATATTCGTTACAAAAATACGTCACTGTTTGTGATGTCCTGTGCTGTCGTTAATGGAAGATGTTCTATGTTATTCTGCGGTTTACATGTTGTAACGACTATTATATTATTTATTTATGCGTTTCTCTGTCCTGAGTGTTCTTGCGTATTCTTGTGCTGTATTTCTGTCACTTTTTTGTAGTCATTTTAGCGATATTTTTTAACATTGCCATATAAGCGGGAGGTTTGGCTAGCCATAAAACCAGCTTCAATACACCATTTTTTCTTAAAATCTCCTGTACAAAGTCAGGAATATGGCAGTTGTTATCAAATAGTTCGTTTCTATGTATGTTGGCGTTTGTTTTTGTTGCACTTCAGTGTTTATGTTGTTTCGTTGTTTTCCTCTTATAGTTGATGTGTTTCCCTCGGTTTTAGTTTGTAACCCGGATTTTTTTTTCTCTCAATCGATTTATGACTTTTGAACAGCGGTATACTACTGTTGCCTTTATTTATACGTACAAAATGTGTTGCTTTAGTTTAAAACGACTATATCACCATTTCTGTTTTAGGTCAGAAGATACCTGTATATATTAGCTGAGTATTGGATATAACGCACAATAGCAGGAGTATTTTGCACGTCCACCTGGCTGCATTTCGAACTCACCGGATTTCAGATTTTGCAGTAACGAAAAAACAGCGGCTCTTTGTGATAGATAACTGATTATAATCATTGTTACTGTGAAATGTGATTAATAAAGAGATGTTAAAATAATCGAAGATTTTCTGTTGCCTTTATATAAGAATTAAGAAGACCTACATTGGTTCGTCAAGCTTATA